TTTATTTTATCCAAATAAAGGAAAGGAAAAAGAGCAAACAAAACCAAAGAGTTCTAAAATAAGAACACGAGACAGAGATCGGGGTAAGGGGGTTGGTTACGCAATGGGAAGGTGTTAGCACCCAAAACGTCTATAGTACTCTATAGGAGCCCTTTGAAATATTTACGCTTTTTGGTTTGAAAATGGTTTGTTTGAAAAGAGATTGGGGAGATGAGAAGAGAATTATTTTTTATATTTTTGTGTTTGGAGAGACTTATCGTCTCATGCCTACGTACCCATAAAGTGCAATATGGAATCAAAACCCCGTAGTTCGTGGTACAAATGACAAAAATTTGTTGGTTTTGATTGATTTTAGATGTAAAGACAAGTCGTCATTTCAAGGAGAAAACTGCGACTATCCACCCACGAGTATTAAGACAACATTTGCGTCACATAAAGATGGAGGATTTGCTTGGATTATCAACAAGACTATCACTCAACATCAACGTGGAAAATGTCAAAGTCTTAATAATATGGAGAATAGGAGATTTACATCTCAACTATAGAAATGAATCATGTCTAAACTTTATGAAAAGTTTTAAAGTGAAAAAGTGCATAAAGGCACAAAAAGAGTTGATGAGTTTTTGTATTTTTTATGTCTTTTGAAATTGGTCAAAACATGATTAACATTGATTGACTTTTATTAAAAAAAACAAAGTTTAAAAATCACTTGACGAAAGTCAAGCTTTTATTGCGAAATCGGTTTTGAAGTTTGAAACCAAGAAGGTTTTGAAAGAGGGAGAAAGTTTTGAAAATTTAAGAAGGGGAGGAGATGAAGTGACTATCCTAAAAACCAAAATAAGAGCTAGAGGTAAGAAAGATCTAACCGACTTGTAGCACACTCCATAGCAAGCAAAAAAAAGAATTCCATCCGATTTAAAGCATAAGCTAATGAGCGAGCCAAATAAAGGCTAAGATCCACAATACTCCAAGCATAGGAATGAGAGCCCTAATTCTAAGTCCAAAGGTCCATAAAGTCCAAGGTCTAAGAGTAGTCCAAGAGCATAACCACAAAGTTAATAGCACCAAAATTTTTTAGATGTTTTATCCTTTATTAATGTTTTGAACAAAGTATGGTCCAAGTGGACAAAAGAAAAATGACATAAACATAAACAAAGATATGGTATGAAATGATAAAATGGAAGCATAAAAGTAAAAAATAAGGAGTAAGAAGAGAATATAAACAAAATTAAACAAGGATATTGTTAGTGAATTAATGGTTAGTGGTTAGAACATATGATCAATGATGATTAATTCTTGCACTTAGACCAAGATTAATGAAAATTCATTAGAGGATTGATAGAATCAAAGCCTCCTAACAATGATTTTCATAGGTATTGGAGTTAAGACAAGCAACTAAACATACTTAGACTTTTAAACGTAAGTTTGAGCCACGAATGATCATTTTCCGATTAAGGGACACTTTAGCGCTATGTTAAGCAATCGTAATCGGGTTTATGTAGAAACCACGACTATCTGAGGCCGGTCAATAAAATGTTAGTGTTAATACATGTTAGAGAAGTGATATGTAAATCACTCTCCTAAAACATGCCACACAAAAAGAAAAGAGGTAGTGATCTCATCATAATCAAGATTTTTAATTAATTAATCAAAGGTAATCTATCACTATTCCAAAGTAAGGAGAATTATCTCAATGATTATTCGTCCATAGATTTGAAATAATGAAGATTAAACAACCTTGATAATCAACAATCTATGATCCATAGATTTCATCGATCAAAAAAAAAAAAAAGAAGAAAGAAAATAAGAATGAAAAGAAATCACAATTTGAATCTTAAATTGATTAAATTATCATCAATATCAATCACCTCTCTTGGTGGATAAAAATCAACACCCAAAGTCCATTGATATTGATGAAATCCTATCAAAATTCAAGATCCAAAACCACCAACAATTAATCAAAATATTTTCAAATAATTTTTTAAGAGCTTTTTTTTTTAAAATTATTAATAAAACTAGTATTAAAAAAAGAAAAAAGAAAAAGTGGAAAGCTCCACGTACAAATAAAAAAAGAGAAATTAAAAAAAAGAAAAGAAAATTGAGATAAAAATAAATGAAAAGGAAAGAAAAGAGAAAGAACAGAATACAACTTCTTTCTGTTCTTCAAGCTCTCACGATACTGCTCACGGCCATGGGAGCTTCAATGCTTACTCAAATCAAAGCGGCGGGATGCGAAACCAGCACGGTTGTGATCAGAATCAAGAGTTCTTCACAATAGTACCAACAATTCAAAGAAACACAACAAAAAGTAACGGATCGGAAATGACGGTGAAGCTCAAACTACCTTCAAACTCAGGAGCAACAATCAATCCAAACTTCTTCTTGCTTCTCTTCTTCTTCTGAATGAATTGTAGTTCGAAATTGGTTTCTGTTTGAGATTAATTTGGAAGAAAAAAAGTGAAGAGTGAATATCGTATGAAGTGGTTTTGATGAACGAAGAAAGTATGAGAGGTGAAGAGGATTGAAGCCTGAAGAAAATTAGAGGTTGGGGTGATATTTCTGCAGAAGTTTTCTGGCTTTTCAAGCTTGAGAAAATGAGTGAGGTATGTGTTGTATTTATAGATGAGAGTGAGTGAGAAATAATTGCCGTTTTTTCAATTTTCTGTGCGTTTTGGTTGTTGCAAGTTATGCGTGACTTGTTGTGATATTTTTCATGTCGTTTTGAATTTTCACTTTCAGCTCACTTAAGTGACGTGGACTATTTTTATCTTTGTTGCAGCTGACTCACTTGAATTTATAACATGGCTGGGATTTGGCTTTGGCTTTCATGGCTCAACCTCAATTTCAAACCACTTTTGCTCTGCTTCCTCTTCTGCAATACAGAAAACCTGAATCTTACAACTCTCAAAGCTCTCCTTGGTGTGTTATCCGCTTCTTCAAGAAATAATACCTACTATTCTGATTAGCACTCTTTGCCGAAGGATATTCAGTGCCAACTTCAACATTTTCCTGGTAACTATGAACTTTGCCAAGTGTTGAACATCTTTGTTTCAGTCGCCGGTCATATGAGCCGGCCGATCTTGGTCTTTGAACTGATTGCCATCCATCATCTCCATCAGGATGTGCTTCAGACAATAATAATTCATTAGAAGTTTGTGGCTTTTCATCTGGGATCTTTTCTAAAAATTAGTTGTTCTGGTTCAGGTGCCGAGTTGCTCTCATTCTCAGATTCTACACTACCTTCTAGGTTGCTTTCGGCAATAGCCTCCATATTCCTTTCATTTGATGCTAGTACAGGAGCTGGAATAAAAAAAACTTTACATTGGCGGGAAGAGCAGGTTTCACAGATGGAACGGAAGGGGACTGAAACAGGTTTGCAGAGCTTCCGCCATTTTGGTTGAAGGTGTCAACATATCTTGACCGAACACCCATGCGGCTGCGAGCAGAGAATTGATTTGAGCTAGGGAGTATCGGCGGCATCCCTGGGCTAGGTTCGGGACTTGAAGTTCTTGTGCTCGAATACTCATTCAGAGTTGAACCTTCGATCTTCAATGCATATTTCAAGTTGTATTCAGTTGGACCATTCTGGAAAGCAGCAGTTGTCGGAGGTGGTGGTGGCAGAGAATACCGAAGAGCTAGCTGTAACAGGAAAGGTGAATCCCGAGCTGTTATCAGATGCTAAGGTCCATTTTGATTTAGGCTTCTTGATGGAAATAGGAGCTAAAACTGGTTTACCGGTGGCATTGTTTGCGAAAGTCTTCTTTTCTTGATTTACTACAGAAGGATACTGACCACCACCACTTGGGACAGCTATGGAATTATCCTTGTCAGTAGACTTCATTGAAAACATTTGAGAACTACCAAAGTTTTGTGCAGTCCTTGCATCTCTGGCGAGTATGGGGGTGCTGCTATGAACACTCAGGTCAGATGCCAAAGTCCTTTCTTTTGTGATGCAACAGACTTAGCAGTACTCTCCTGAGGTTGAATATCAACATGGCAGTTCCCTTCATCTTCATTTCTTAGAGTAGAATTCGTTCCACGAAGCTCGCCATATTTACAAGGGCTAGTGTGTTTTGGCTTAACCAAGCCATTATCTTCCTTGGAAAAGATAGTACTTGTATTAACAGAAAATTCAGGATTCTTCCATTTAGTTGCTAGCTTCAGCTCATCAGATTTCTGCTTAGGAGTGGGAATGTTTCTATCAATATGCTCTAATATCTTCTTAGCCATCAAACTAGTATGTGTGTGTACTGTTGGAACACTGCGCTCAAAGCCCAGTGGCTTCCGAGCGCTGCTCATCCCACCAGGATCCATTCTTGTGGCAATAATATGACTTGAACGTTCAATCAAACTGGCATTTTCTCTCTGTGAATAATTCATAGATGAATATGCTGGTCTTCGTGAAGTCGATTGCATACCAACTTTATGCCTACTTCGACGAATAGGTCCAACAGATCCATATCCACTTGCTGATGCACCAACTTCAGATTTGTCCTTCAGATACAGACTTGTCTGTGATTGACGAAGGGGAGTTGATGAAAAGCGGCTTTCATTGCCTTGGCTATGAATCAACTTGGACTTAGACTTCATCAATAGAGTTCTGGAATAAGGAGTCCGTGCATAATTAATAAGTCCATATTTGCTTCCTTGACTTTGTGGTGTTGCATAAGCATCCTGCACAAAAGCACCTGGCCAGCATGTTGGTGACCTTTTTGATGGTGATGGATCATATGATTTTATTGCAGCTTCATCATTAAGGAGCATTGTGCTTTCAACCGTTTGAATCTTGTTCTTAGAACTGGGGCCTGCTTCAGATGCCCGGGAATCCATATATGCTCTAGCAATATCAATTGGTGAAGCACCAATTTCACCTCGGACTTTTGACATGAAAGGTGTTGAACTTCCTCGTATGGTTCCATTTGATTCTTCATGCCTTCATTCATTGAAAACCTTTGGAAGCTTGTGTGCCACTACAAGCCCCCTGTCATCTTGCCTAGGAGTCAAATTTGTTCAATACTAGCAACGTCAATTGCTCTTGAATTCAAAACCTCCACTAAATGATCGAATTCATCTCTGGTGAATTTTTTCCTTCTCAACAGTTGCTCGATATCTGAAAACCTATCATTCTCGTGTTGTTCTCCTTTTTCAATGTGCCTGGGCAGAGCAGTGTCAAAACTGCTATCATCACCAATACTTGCCATTTTAGACAATTCAGATGGCAGGAGATTTGAATTAGTTATGAGCAGATTATCTTTACTGTGCTGTTCATCAGCTCCCGGTTCACCTTGATCTTCGTTGGAAGAGAATAACGAAGGAAGAAACCGAGTGGCTCCACCGGCGATGATGCGATAAGCAGGATCGACTAGCTTTGAAATCCATCGGCGGTTTGCGGTTAATGAGGGACGGGTGTAAGGACTCGCTGGTGGCTTTCTCGGCGGGGGTTTTCTAAGTTTGCCGTCGGCGCCTCTAGCGTCCGATAGTGTTGACGGAAAAGCTGTGATTTGATCAGGGTTGTCCATGGAATTGAGACTAAACTTAACTGAAAGAACGGCGGAAAAGTTTTAAAAGGAAAAGGAAGAAGAAGGGAAGGGCGAAAACGATGTTACCACCGGCACTAACACCAATTTTGCTGAACCAGTTACAGCAAGTTTCTTTAGCAACGACACAGATATCACTGGCTTCAAAGTTTTCTGCCAAGTTGTAGAATAAAGCTCCGTCTTCAGTAAATTCTGCTTTCTGTTTTATGCCTTTCCAAACCAAGAAGATACTCGAACATGTTTTGCAATGCTTGAATCTTAAGTCGGGCATTAACATGAGAAGACAGTGTTTCCTACCGTATCTTTCCAATGTCATGTTCTAACATAAATTCAGCCATTGCAATTAGAACATATCCTAGTGCCTGCAATGATCTAACCTTAAGAGAATAATCATCCACGACAAGATACTTCATAAACAAGCTTAGGCTCCTTCTGACATCAATAAGTTTATTACCAGAGCTTGCTAGCAAACAGTTGCCATAACAAATAAGCAAACCGATACAGAAGAGAGATCGCCCAACTTGTTGTTTGTTTATAATTGCCTGGATATCAAAACATTTGAAGAAGACCTGGATAAGATGCTCAACTACATCTGCCCCCTTTCCAGCAATCTTACTCATACTGCAGAGGCATTTGATACAAGCAGGGACAAACAGCAATGGCAACACATCATCAATTATAAATGCTATACTCTTAAGTAACTGTGCAGCAATGTTATTCATGCTATTGTCAACCTGAGTCTTCAGATATGGCTGCAAAGTAATGACATAAGATGGCGTGTCATCAGAAATACTTCTGTCATAAGGAAAAGAGAGCACTGTTGACACACATACGTCTGGGTCAATTGGAAAGTTTTGCTGACTTCTGGTCCATTCTTCAAATGCTTCTGAATTTACCTCTAGATTCTGAGGGCACGAGCCAATCATGGACTCAATTTGTTTCATCACATTGTATATTGCCAAATCAATCTCACTGAGTATTGCACCGTAAGAATAACACAGTAGTGCAAGAAGTTCTTTTTTTTTTGTTGATGGCAAGGCTTCATGTATTGCACGTAGCATGAACTTGCTCACGTGGACTTGATTGTTTTGCAAATTATGTTGACTTAATTAAATCTGACCCAAAATCCACACATGAGCTTTCTTCACCAATCTTTGATAAAATGAAATGAACAAATCTTGGACCATTGAATATCTTACAACTAAAGAACATGTCATTTGAATCCATTTGAACTTTTCATAACTTTCTAAATCTCATAAATCACTTCTTGATAGCCTGATGAATTCTAGCACAAGACAACATGGCCTTGAACAATCACATTTTCTGAGAAAATAGCCCACCACCACGGGTAACTTATAGTTGAAGGAAACTCTTGATAGTTTGACCACGATGAGGTCAAACTTTCATCTGATTTAGACTGGAATGAACGTCCTTGCCATCAATCTTCTTGCAAAACCCTATACGCACAGAGAAGGAGAAAAAACAAGCAAATTGCAAAATATTTTTGGTATTTTGGTTAGAGGTTAGTAAACAGAAATAAACATAAAGCAAGTAGAAAACACAAATGCGCTGAGAGAACCAAAAAATATGGTCTTGTTTGTGTATGCAAAAAATGAAAATGCAATGTGGGATCTTAGGGGTAAAAATTAGGGTATTACAGCTGCCCCTATTTAAGATTCTTCTATCCAGAGATATGAAGATTGACATCTTTGTCTCGACTAGATAGAAGAGACTTAAATATAACAATAAACCCAATTTTTGGCCCTAAGAGACCACAAAATGATATCATTATGCTAATGGTATGGAAACACAAGACCTCTGTGGGGAGAAAATACCACAGGAGTAAAACAAACACTGGAGAAAAAGAAGGAAAGAGACTCCACAACAAAAAACAAAATCCTATTCCGATAAAGGAAAGGAAACGACTCAACAGGGAAAGAGATACCAACTGCCAGTTACTGGGCGAATATAATCGATCCAAAGAGAACAGGTAAAATGCTTCTACTGGTTACTGAGTAGAAAATAAGCGTAATAAACCAAAGGGGGTGAGAATATTACCGACTACCAATCAATAGATAGCACAATAAAGGCAATATACTCAAAAGGTGAAGAAACATTACCAGATACCCAGTACTAGGTATAAAAATTTGGGTAACGAACTCACAAGGAAAGATTACCGACTACCAATTACTGGGTAGAAAAATATGTCGATAACTGACCAAAAAGGATGAGCAAAATACTCAAAAGGGTGAAGAAACATTACCAGATACCCATTATTAGGTAGAAAAATTTGGGTAATTAACTCACAAGGAAAGATTACCGACTACCGATTACTGGGTAGAAAAATAGAACGGTAACTGACCAAAGGGATGAGCAAAATACTCAAAAGGGTGAAGAAACATTACCAGATACCCATTACTAGGTAGAAAATTTTGGGTAACGAACTTACAAGGAAAGATTACCGACTACCGATTACTGGGTATAAATATATGTCGATAACTGACCAAAAGGAGGAGACAAATGCTACCTACTACCTATCACTAGGCAGAAAATAAAGGCAACAAGCTCGGGAGGAAGGATTATCTTTTACCGGTCAAATGGGTAAAGCATAACCAACCAGAAGGGGTGAGAAATATTACCAGTCAATAGAGGTAATATACTCGAAAGGTGAAGAAACATTACCGGATACCCAGTACTAGGTAGAAAAATTTAGGTAATGAACTCACAAGGAATACCTGCTACCAGTCAATTGGCAGCTCAAATCACACAACAAACTTCTCAAATAAAGAGACAACCATTTGTTGGGGTGAGGTTTATCTTGCTGGAGACATACAAGTTGCTCAAATAAAGAGAATGTCACATGAAGTTGCCCAAGCAATCACCAAGAGAGTGTTATCAAAACACCACTGGGGAAAATCAAATCTTCATCTTCTGATGGGAATCAATAACAGATTCCTTCCGAGGAAAGTAAATCCTAAAAAATACCTTCTCATCATCCAGGTTTCACAGCCCAGGGAAATCCAAAATAACCGCTGCAAGAGACCAAAGTTCAATCCAGGAACAAACTGGAGAGAAACGGTCAAACAAGACTCGACCCAATGAGGAAATAACTCAACTGGGGAACAATTCCATCCAGATAAAAGCTGGGGCGGAAAGCTAAACAAACATCTTCCACGAGGCATAAACTCAGTGGGGAATTAGAAAGGATAGGTATTTTCTGCTTAAGGGTCGACACTCTAATGGAGAGAGGACACACGCACTCCGCGGGGATAACAACACCGGCGAAAGGGAAACACCAAAAAAATGCAAGATGCACAATGTAACAAAAACATGCTATGCTCAACCAAAATGAATGCGCATGCAATGCATATGAGTATGAATATGGTGACAAAACAGACAAAAAAAAAGGCAAACAGAGGGTGAACAAAACATCACAACACCACTGAAATACTCGGCTTATCTCAGCAAATTAGAGATATCATTGGAGATCGTGCTGGGGATAAGTAACAGAAAATCTTCAATCATCAATAATTCAACAAAAGGGAACAACAATATGAACTCCGCTTTGAGAAAAAAACTGTTGGAGAAAACAAAGCAACACAAATTTTCCAACTCTGCCTGGGGAATAAGAAGTTAACATCATAGCAAAAAAGTCAAACTGTGGGGGATTTTAAATCAACACCCAATCACAAGGTGAGAGAAAACCCGACAGGTGACTGCTATATCAACACTTCTTAGAAGTAAGCAACATTGTTCTCTACTTGTGGAATAATCCAAAGTAAATATGCATAACCTCTGCTAGGAATCATTAAAGACAAGTCTCCGCATGGGCAATAACATCAAGGAGAGGTGGTCCTCAAACTACTCAACTGTCTGATCATAACCTGGCTGGATGAAGGAAACATACTCATCTGGAGAAGATTTTGAATCAAGACTTAGCTGGGAAAACCGAATAATATCCATCTGGTTATCCATAGGAACAAAACTCTGCTAAGGGAATATCAGCAAACCCTACTAGAGAAACCTCGATATAGCTCAAATGGGGAAACATCAACACAACTCTACTGGGGAGCTGCCAATAAATTCTACCAGAGGAGCAAGAAATAACTCTGCTGAGGAGAATAAGAATCTGATGAAGGTCATATCCTATCTTTCACAACCAGTAGTGATAAATGTGTATCGTCTGCACATGATCAACAAGGATGATACTCTGGGTACTAACAACCTTGAGAGAAAAATTTGGACTTGTGGGGATAATTAAGAAGTTAACATCAAAAAGTCAACCTGCAGGGAATTTTAAAACTCAACACGGGGTGAGAGAAAACCCAACAGTTGATTGCCATATCAACACTTCTTAGAAAGGAAATATGATTCAGATTGGCCATAAGAGCAAAGAATCATAACGGAGGAGGTAGAAACCTGCCAGAGATTCCTCATCAAATTTTACCATAGAACATGATGGGATCCAACAATCACATTCACCCTTAAATATGCTTGATCATAAACAGGTTAGAGAAGAAGAACCATGCTCGGCTGAGGAAATCTGAATCAAGACTTCGCAGGGGGAATCCAAGTTTAAAATGCTTGAACTAGTGCCCAACTAAGAAATGCATCAATAAGACCAAACTTTGCTTGAGAGATTGTCAACAGACTGTATCAAGGAGAACATCAACAAGGACAAACTCTAATCTGCCCCAATATCTTCAAACTCTGAGAGATTCGTCGAATCTCGACGTAACTTCCCCAGATTAACTGTAGTCGGCATATTCTTTTACTGATGGAGTATTCAAGCTTTGCCCCTGCGAAAGCATCAACTGGGAAAACAAACTTGCTCAAGCTCAACGAAGTCTTCAAGAAATATGCCCCTGGATATGATCATTCCTTGAAACGATTTGCCAATTACTCATCAGATTTTCAGGCTTCAAAAGATTATGTTCATCACTGATACGCATATGTAAGCTTCCATGATGTCAAATAATGTA